GTGAGTTTCTCAACGTTTGCATCTACGCGAGATGTGTGTGTGGAGTCGGGAGTAGATGACATAAGAACCTGGGTTGTCAAAGGGGTATCCACAGACTGAGCGGTAGATGTAGAGATGGGAAGGGTCGGGGGGATCGGACTCCAAAGAGATGAGCTCAATGTTTGGACAGAGGGGATCGTCGCGAAGAAGATCCATAATGTTCACTAAGTATAGGGTGATGTCCTCTTGACGTATGAAGTGAGAGAACTGGCAAGGGGAAGTAAAGGCTTTATACAGGTGGGACCCCGAGGGACAAGGGTTCTGGGGAGGTAGGTCAGGAGAGTTGTCGCCCGTGGCACCAGTGAAGGGGACAAGATGGGTCTGACCACACTTGGTTCTGAGAACGAGTGTCTCGATCGCCCATTCGACCTCTGTGTCACGGAGCTTGCAAGACCAAGGAGTGCCAAGGATAAAGTCGTACCCAATCTCCAACACATCGAAGTATGCAGAGAATGGTAGCGGCGAGACGCTTGGGTACTACCCGACAACTGGAGGGCAAGGGGGAAGCGGAAGTCGAAATCGTCTCATCGAAAAAGCGTTGCATCTTGTTATCTTTGAGGGGAACGAAGATAAGAGAGCGAGACCCGAAGGTAGCTAGACAAGCTTCCTCAACCACGCGAGGGTGAACAAAATCTCCCTGCGGGCTGAAGTCCCATAAAGCGTGGTACACCCTCGTAGATGTCCCAAGGCGAATGGGAATGATATGGAGGGTGCGATCAGGGTCTGAGAGCAGAGCGAAAAGGCGACGCAAGACGTGTATGTGTCACTTGAGTCGCTCCTGACGAGCTTGAAGAATGATCCAGAAGAGATGACACAACATCATCGCGAATCGCCAATTGAGCACTACAACGAGTTGTACGAACAGAGCGACACATCGGAAGTCTCTGAGGGGAAGGACTAGAGTGGTGGTCTGTTGTGGGGCAAACAGTACCTCGATAGACGATGGGGTAGAGGGAATTGTGTCTGTCATGTGCCGATGAACCTCTAGTGTGGTAGCCAGAGGGGCGAACCGCCACTCGATGAAGTGACCTCCAACAAGAAGTCTCATCACAAACAAGGCAGGCGTCCTGAAACACCCGGATGTGAAGCTCCAGATCGACTGGTGCAGTAGACCCGGACCATCTGGTCATGGCGAGTGTCAAAGCGGTCCTGGAGGAAGGTCGTGAAGTTCGCGAAGGCAGAAGTCTCGGTCGTGCGTAGATGATGAGTATAATAGCTCTCCCATGCAGCAAAAGAGCTGCCTCGCAATTTGGTTGCGACCGCATTGCACCACATCTTGTGACGAGTAGTTGTCAGGGTCAGTGTGTACGTGGCTATCTGCAACCACTATGATACGCGGAGTGTGCCATCATACTTAGGCATGTCCGGGAGGCGCACAATGGGGGGCCTGATGTGCTGACGGCGAGGGGAGGGAGGCTGAGGCGCCTACACTATGGCAACAAAAGTTGGAGACGATGCAGGGGTAGGAGTGAGAGGAAGTCGTGGGCCGCGGTTGTTGGCGGAAAAAGCAGCAGAGGTGGAGGCAACAACCGCAGACAACTGTGATAGAGTGGCAAGGTAGGAGGGTAGAGGCGGAGGAGTAGGTCAAGGGAAACAAGCCTATAAGGTAGAGGTTGGAGGGGAAGAAGAAGAAGAAGGGTGAGCGGCCTGTGAAGGGTAAGGATGTCTCAAGGTAAGAATCTCGGCCTTGATCTGCGCAAGAGTGGCTTGCAAAGCAACCACTCGCTGGGTGTGTGAAGTCGCAGGAGGAGGGATAGGAGAGGGTACCCGAGCGGGAGGTGGCATCCCGAGTTGACGGGTGTCCTGAGGTGAAGGTGAGGGAATGAAAGAAGGAAGTAGAGGTACAGACCGTAATGCTGCAACCGGTGCAGGAAGCTCGTAAGCAGCACCGGAATGGGTAGATAAAGTTTCCTGGCCAGATACCTGTATCTGGGCGGCAGTACCTAGGATAATGGTTGAGTTGGTAGGGGCGGCTGAGGTCGATGGAGGTGAACCAACAAACGGAGTGATATGACCGGCGGCGGCACTCACGACTGTTGAGGGGGAGTGTTGGGCCTGAACCACAATGGAGGAGGAACCACCACTTCTCAATGTTTGGAGTCGTGGAGAACTGGACTGTGAGCCAATCTGGGAGGGAATATGAGAGCGGTGGGGGGAGCGATGAAGAGAGCCCTTGAGGCAGTTGGCGTTAAGGGCGAACGTGTTGAGTTGCGCATCTAGACGTGCAAGCGCATCGAGTCACGCTTATATAGGTGCAAGAAGGGACGCAAGAGCGACGTGAAGGTCCATGGGATCTACAAGGGCCTGACCTTGGGCCGTCGGGTGGATGGGCGCTTGAGAGGTAGACAACGCCGCTGTGATCTCCTCGGATGTACTCCCGTTTGTGGGCGGAGACGGGAGGTAGGTAGACATGGTGAGAAATGGAGAAAAAGGTGAGTTGCTGAGTGGGGAAACGAGCCAACCAATAAAGGTGAAGGTAGGGGCGGAGCGGAGATTATAGGTATCAGTTGGAGTTCGCCAAAATGGGTGGGTCGCACATGAGATGGTGGCACGTAGCCGGTCGAGGGGAGAGGATCCGTTTGGGTCCAAAGTGCTCAACGGGAGGAGTCGAAAAAGGAGGGGGGTAGGAGAACCCTAAACGTTAGAAAACCCTAACCAGAATTGGTGGAGGTTACGGTGGAGTAGCGGCGACCTAATCAAGAAAAGAAAATAGCAACCATGGAGGGAAAAATAAATAAATAAAAGGTGAGATTCCGAGATAAAAATAAATAAATAAATAAGCAAAGGGTGAAGAGAGAAATAATATTTATTTTTTTGGAATTTTCGGCAGTATTTTCCCACTCCCTATGCGGTCAAGATGTGCCAAGATAAGAGAAAAGAGTAACAAAATCACACTAACTTTCAAAATACCGCAAATTAAAATTTTCAAATAAATAAATAAATAAACGAGTAGGTGGAGGAGAGTAAAGAGAAAACTAAATTTTGGATTTTCAAAAATTTTGGCAGCATTTCGTTTAACCCATGGGGTTGAAATGTGCGATCAAGAAAATGACTGAGTAAAAAGAGAAAAAATTTTCAGCACTTCGTTAAACCCCAAGGGGTCAAAATGTGCTGGAAGAAGAGACTAAGGAGAAAAAGAGAAATTTTGGCAGCACTTCGTTACCCCCAAGGGGTCAAAATGTGCGAACATAGCAAAATGGCTAAGTCCTATAAAAAATTGAGGGTGACGCACAAAAATTTAAAATTTCAAAATAAATAATAATAACAAAAATAAAACAAAAAAATGAAAAAGGAGGAGGTGGTAAAATAATTTGAATTTTTGAAGAGGAAAAAAAAAATCAAACAGGAATTTCAGGAACACAAAAGAAGAGAAAAAAAAAACGAAGTTGGGGAGGGAGAGTTAAAAAGAGGTGAAAAAAGATCGAAAGAGGTGAGAAATAGAGAAATTTTGAGATGGTGGATGAGGGGGCTGGTGAGAATTAAGTTGGGGGAAGAAAAAAGGAGGGGAGGGTGGGAGAATGGAAGAGAAAAAGGTGGAAAGGGTGGAGAGTAAAATAAGAGATTAGTAGAAGAGCGTAAGTGAAGAGAAGAGTGGAGAAAAGATGGTGGAAGACGAGTGAAGAACCGAGGAAGATGAGAGAGCGTTAGAAAGGTGGGGGGAGAAGTAAAGAAAGGAGGAGGGAAGAGTGAGAGAGGGTGAGAGATTAATGGTAGAATTAGAAAAATATGATTAGAGGATGGAGGGGAGATAGAGAAAAGAAGGTGGGAGAGTGGGTTAGGGAAGGAGGGCTGATACCAAGCTCTTGGTTGGCCAAGAGCAAGATAATATTACCAAGATCCACAGGATTTTGGCCTTCAAGGAGTTGGCAGACTGCTGCTGCAACAACGAAAAAAATACTAAAACTAGTAGTCCGGGTAGGTTGAGATCTTGATCAGTTACCCAAATTTCACTGTAGCACAGCCCCCTAGCCAGGAGGGTCTTCAAAAGCCCTCAGCAAGCTGCCACGTGGCACTGCAGATAGCCAGTGTGCAGGCAATAGCAGCCACGGCTCACTGGTCACCGACGGGGGGCGGGTTAAACAGTTGACGTGACACTCTTCAACACCAACGTGCCATATTACTAACTCATGTTGAGACTTTGGCCAGTATGTTAGGGCACTAGCCTCGCATGCGCAAGGCCAGCAGCTGGCCAGGTTCAAACCCTGGCAGATGCATCCCAAATCTTGATATCATCCGAAAGCGGGGCGGGGCAGCGGGGCTCAGGGGCGGATGCACATGCTCGGTCCATGTTCCACTTTTTTCTCCTCGACACGTAGCAGCTCTGCTAGAGCAGCTCGCCTTGTTTTTCCCGCCGTTCTCCGCATTCGAGCTTGCAAAAACGTTGAAAATCCCGCTCTCCAGAATTTACCCATCGATGGGGTGGGATGGAGCGGGGAACGCTCCCATTCCGATACCAGTGTGACGGACCCGCCGGGATGGCGGTCCATGCAAACAGCCATGTGTGCAGGCCGCAGCAGCAGCCACGGCGCGAGAGGGGGCGTGTCACTCACTGCTCACTGCTCGCCGACGGGGAGCGGGGGATGGTGGTGGTTTAAACAGCTCGCATGGCACTCTTCAACACCAATGGGCCTCATTACTAACTCATATTGAGACTTTGACTGGTATGTTAGGGCGCTGGCTACGCACGCGCAAGGCCAGCAGCTGGCTAGGTTCAAACCTTGGCAGCTGCATTTCAGATCTTGATATCATTCGGAAGCGGGCGGGGCAGTGGGGTGCGGGGGCGCGTGCACGCGCTCGATCCACGTTCCACTTTTTTCACCTCGACATGTGACAACTCTGCTATAGCAGCGCACCTTGTTTCTCCTGTCATTTTCCACATTCGAGCTTCCAAACACGTTGAAAATCCCGCTCTCCAAAATTTACCCACTGACGGGGTGGGATGGGTGGGAGCGGGAAATGCTCACGCTCTGATACCAGTGTGATGGACCCGCCGGGATGGCGGTCCATCAGGATCAAGACGGAGGGATGGCGAAGGAGGAGATGGAGATGGAGATGGAGATGGATAGGACAGCACAGCCCCGACGCAGAATCTGCACGTACTCTTAAACCACCAGTACCTCACTCAGCTATCAAGTCCGAGGCTCGGACTACCGATAGCACGATCATTCCTGAGCCTCGGACTTTATTGTCGAGCCTCGGACTTTATTGCCGAGCCTCGGACAACCGGTAGCACATCACAGAAAAATAAAAAAAAATAAAAAAACAAAAAAAGAACATACAACCTTCGGGGAAAAAAAAAAGGAAAAAAAGAAAGGAAATCGAAGAAGATTCATTATCGTGAATGGTTCACTAAGAGAGAGAGAGAGAGAGCCCTCTCTCTCTCTCTCTCTCTCTCTCTCTCTCTCTCTCTCTCTCTCTCTCTCTCTCTCTCTCTCTCAACGTTCAAATGCGAATGAATCTTCTGCGTTATCGCGGAAGATTCATTCGCATTTCAACGTTGACACACAGAGAGAGAGAGAGAGAGAGCGTCAAAAACTTCCCGAGTCCGATCGTCTCCAATTTCCCCATGAGCCCACGTAGCTCTCTCTCTCTCTCTCTCTCTCTCTCTCTCTCTCTCTTCGCAAACTTCCCCCCTGCCTCGCCCGTTTTGTTTTCATTTGTCACTTCCTTTTTTTTTTTCTTTTTTTTTTGACCCGTTTTTTGGGGAATACCGGTCGTTCGCCAGTGGGTACCCCATCCAACGAGGCGCATTCAACCACCAGTACCTAGCGGTTGTTAAGGTCCGTGGCTCAGCCTACTGGTATCCCAAACCTTGCCGAGCCTCGAGCTACCGGTAGGTACACATCGGAAGAAAAAAAGAAGACAAAAAAAAAATTTGACATTCTTCTGCAAAAAAAAAGAAATTGAAAAAGAAAGATATCCGTTTGCACTTTCCATCTTTGGGTCGCGTGGAGGGGGAGAGAGAGAGAGACACACACACACACACACACACAGAGAGAGAGAGACAGAGAGAGACAGAGAGAGAGAGAGAGAGAGAGAGAGAGAGAGAGAGAGAGAGAGAGAGAGAGAGAGAGAGACGGGAT